TCGCAAATTGATTGCGTAACACGTCATCACCCTTTTATTCTTTTCAGACTTGATTAAAAAAAAACCATTAAAAACTGTTACTATGATTTTTGTCGTATTAATGGTTGGACGCAAACTTCTTTAGTGGCTCTGGAGAAAATATCATTTGCCGAAAAATCTGAAGCTGTATAATATGACACTTAATTTAGTTTACAAAATCCCATGATTTTTCTTTTCTTAGGTACAACTATAGACGAAGCTTTGCGACGAAATGTTATATTTTTTTGTCCACGTTATAACGGAAGAATTTAAATTCACTTGTATTTTCTACACGAAAGCGTTTCGATTTACCTCGTAACTGGCCATTTTGATGAAATTGGAAAGACGTAGCACACCACCAAGGCATTAGTTACATCAATTTTTTTTTAAGACCGGTAAATCCCAAGAGCTGTAATATAATAAAATATGTACTTAATTACTTCTTTCTCTTACAAAGCATCCATTGCTAATGATTTATTATTTATAACATGCAATTATAACAAATATAATGGACTAATAAAACAGTTAATTACATAGTAACAGACAGACAGCTTCTTGTATATAGCATTCGTACATTCCCTTTCCCAATCTTTTACGTATATATCCTCTGCTGATGGAAACAGTAGTCACACTTATAAAATTTAAAATAAGTAAGAGGTTTTGTTTAAGCAAAGGTATAGAGACAGCTTAACTTAAATTCAAAACTAATCAACAGTACCGGCAGACTTAGTGGAGACCAAGGGATTTAACCACTCCGTATCTTGAAATTACTAAATCTAATGTTCTTCCGTGCCGATTGACTACTCCATTAAACTGACTTAAAGACATGGATCCAAGTTATACAACTCGTCAACGTATAGATAGATTCATCTTTCTTAGGGATTACTTGCTATAAAGGCCGTATTAAGGGAGGACGACGAAGTACGAAAAGAAGTAAAGGTTGTAAACAATATTATGACACATCAATATGCAAAATAAAACAAATTTATTATCTGTAATGGAAAGTGTTACGCAATTTTATTAATATGTGTCTAATAAGCGATGAGCGCGATAATCCATGTTAGCTGTTGATGCTACAACTGCTTAAAATTTTAAACAGGGATAAACTTAACGTATTAGTAATAAAATATGTATGTGTGTGTTTTGTAATAAAGGCTTTATTTTTAAAAATATGGCCTTTTACAAATAGTAATATATTTATTTCTAATAAGATCACTTAAATATAACAACAACAATTTTTAAAGCTAATAAAAGGTGCAAGAAAGTGAAAAATAAGGGAGGAAATTCCAGTATCTAGTACAAAAAGAAAAAAGAAATTAAGAATAAAAATTAAATAAAATTAAGTTAGAATATTTACAACATTTACACTATCTACATACAAGCATCAAAAAATTCCTCCGCATCATCGCCTACTGGTAGCGTTGCCAGAAGACTGGCAGCATTGCCACGTTGAATGGCAATGCTAATTCTCTGTGCTAGAAAAAGACCAGCCTTCTGATCACGAGAAGTGTCAATCAGTAGTTTAGCCAGCTGTTTATATATAGTACGAGCACTTGGACCCTTTTTAAAAGATTAATTAAGGCATTATTCTTGATTTTTGAGTTTGTTTTATTCAATCATATTGATAGTTCTTAGGAAATGATTTTCAGTTTATTAAAAAGCTGTTTATGCTCTTTACATAGATGGTCATTAGCATAAACCGTCTCCGATCTGCCCTGGAATCCAATGTTGGCTTTAGCCAAGTCTTTAATAGCCGTCATAAAATCTTCCTTTAAATATGTTAAAAACTCACGATTATTGAATACGAAAACTGTTAGTAGGACGGATTTTGCGCTTGGACTATCCACTGAAAGTGCTATCTTGAATCTCAAGCTTACTGTCCAATACAGACACCAGCGCGCATGTATCCTTGACATTGCCAAGGCTTCACTTTTCCGTGTCGTTTGATGTACTTTAGAACATAATGGTTTTTACCCTAACCTCAGTTATACCAAAAGAGCGTTAGACGTCCTGCTCGATAATTATAATAATATCTTCATTCTTTGCTTGATTCTGCAGTATTTCGGAGATGTTTGCTCAGGCCTGTAAAGACGTACGGATTAGGTACAAGCGATTATTCAACACAATTCAAGAAGCTTCTTCTGAGCAGATAGCGGCAATGTCTTGAAAACTGGCGCTGAATTGTGTTTCTCCTATAGTTAGACATTTTGTGTGGATGTTATAATAATAAGATAGGGAATATTTTTTTCCCGCCTCGTCATCAGCACATAATGCCACAATGTCTTAACGTACATAATAATATGTATTTAATTTCACTTATTAATCCCATTTATGTAAGTATCTATTTCTATATTATTAAAACATATTGATCAAGTTCTTTGCTATAAATAATTTGAATGTACTTGTATCTTGCCGAAACGTTAATTAAACATCTATTTTATATTCACGGATATTGAAACAATTAAAACACCGTAATGTTTCCGATGTTTTTATTGCGTTCTGATGACCTCCAGAAACGTGACGTGCTGTGCAAGAAATATTTAGAGCCATTTTTTGTCCATTATATTGATGCTGAAGCGCTATATTCGATAGATAAAATGATTCATTTTCGCTGAAAATATATGGGGTTGGAAATTCAGATGTTACATCACACGGCCTTTGCTAGTCAAGAGAATTATTTATAAGTTGTAATAAACTAGCAATGAACACCTAATGTTTATTGCGAGCCTTTGGACTGTATAGTTTGCGACCGACAGATGCCATTATTACTACGGTATTGCTAGAGCGATTATATTTATGGCAAAACCGGTTTTAATTAATACTTCGAATTAGTGCATAGATGCGTTCAGTTATTCTATTTACTTGCTATAAATACTGCAAAAATTAAATTGTGAATTACTTCGTATAACTGTACCCAAAATAAAGTAGTATAAAATTAGGTATATATTAAGATAAAGATAAAATTGTATAAAATGGAAATGTTGAAATATGTAATTAAAAATAAGACTAATAATATAATATAAAAATCATGTCAATGTCAAATAATCCTGGACTTATAATATTAGCTATTACAAATAAATTACCAACGTACCATAAAAAAAGGAAGTCTCTGTGGGCCTCGCAATCAGTCAACTGTAGTCTGTAGTACAATTATTGAAGAATTCGCAATGGTTTCTCACGTCATATTTATGTTAGGATCGGATTTTAAGTCATGCCGCTAGACACCGCTTTGAAACAAAAAGGAGACAGGGCTCAGTTTATTTGTTGAGTATAAGTTATTTTAAATGTTTATAAATATCAGTCAGTTAAATTAAACCGCCATTTCCCGAAATGAATTTTCCTGAACTGTTTGCATACTCTAAGGTTTCTCTACAAAGTTATAGAACCCGCAAGATGAGAGTCCTATTCGCATTTCGATTTTTTTTAATGAGGTAATTTACGTCGTCTAATTAATTAGTTTTTCTGACAACCTTGCTCAAGCCAGCTAAAGCGTTAGTCATCGCTTAGAAACAGCCTCATCAGATTGAGATGAGAATCTATACACCTACCTTTCTCCTTACCTGCACAAGGCTCAGTTGAAGGACCAAAAATCTTTGAAAATATGACGACTAGATGGCGTAGTGGTGGTACTTCTAAACAGCTGGATTAGTTTCGTAAATATTTTACTACCAGGTAGCTGTCTACATGAGGAATAACTTTGGCTATTTTCCCTCTCAGAAAACCCTTTAACATTTTGCACCGAACCCACTAAGGCAGCGCTTTTCAAATTCCACGTGAACGAAGTCGCGGGTACCAGTAACAAAAAACGGCGATTGTTTTATGAATAGTTTTACTTGTTTTATTTTAATTACCTTTACATACTTTACAAATATTTACATATCGAATTTATTTAGAATATAATCAATATGATAATATCAATATGGGAAAATCTGAAATGTTCCATATAATCGATCTCTTATCGATATTAATGACGAAAATACTTTTACTACCCTTCAACTGCTTTAGGCTTGATTCTGGTCATGGACTTTCAGTCGCTACGTGTATTTGTTGTATAATAATTAAAACGTGTTCGGTTTCCCTTGATCTTTTCTCTTAATTACATCACCAGGTTGTTTTATCCTACGCTTTCCTACGCGGTTAACTTGGATTTTAAGTTTTTTTTTTTGTAAGAGTATTTAGGTGTATATCATATTTTTGTTCCTCACGATATAATTTCGAAACGCTTTTGGTTACCGATAGCCTTTTAATTATGTGTGAGTTGAATTAGCTAACAAAGATTTGCTATTGGTGAAAGAGACTAGAATGAATGCATGTAATTACTAAAACTTCATTTATTGGTTCATATATCAAATAGATAACTGAAAACATATCAATTATATTACGAAACCAAATTGTAATGGTAACTGATTTATAGAAAAATATTTGGATTTGTCAACAATAATTTTACCAATACTAGGTTCTATGTGTTTTGAATGTGTTCATTCATCATCATTATTCATCATTATTATTAGTCTTTAATGTAATCCTTTTCATAATTTTTACTTGACTGCTGGATTCCAAAAAAATTGAAGGAAATCATATTCATCCAATTGGTTTTTTAATACAATTTTCTGTTCCATAGAGCACATTGACTATATATATATATATATAAATAATGGTCAACTAGTAAAATTGTCACACTTATTTATAAAGTAATGTGTAATTAATAAAGGTCCGCATTGATACCTAATCATGTTACTTCCATTTAATAAAACCAGTTGTTACATCACTGAGTCACACATATTTTCATTAAAATTGGTGTCTCATAAAACGTAAATTAATTTGTAAATTAAAATTTTGACTTATTCGTATTTTTTGCAAACTTGCTCTCTTGCGAATCGCCGTGTTCCCATAATTTAGTGAATAATTCGACGCATAATGGGCACATTTTGTCGGTAGTCAACTTTCGGACGGCGTAGTGAAACTCGGATCACCGAATTTATTCATCGATTTCGCCTATTATGTTGGCGCGAGTCGCGGCCCGTTGGATAGCGGCTGGCGCCGAGGTTGCAAATTTCACGGCACCGCTGCCACACTCCCCGTGGCTTGTTTGCGAAAATGTCACGTCGCCAAGAGTACCGCCCCCTTTCCCTACTCACCTCCCATCCGCCTCTAGCGAGCTCGTCGACCGCGACGTGTTCTTCTATTGGTAACTTGACTCCGCTTTGTGAGTCAAAACGCGGTAGTTGAATACGTGCACCACAAACTTTAGCTCGCCAACGTTTGGTCTCTATTTTAACTCTTAAGATCAACATTTTATATGTGTTATACTCTACCGATAAATTTACAGAAAGGAGTCTTAATACCTGTTCCATTTTCTTAGTTCTAAATATACAGATATCTAAAACAAACGTCTTCCTGTTGTAAGTTTTGATATACCCTAACATCATTTCAAATGCGTGTTCGATTTGTGTTGTTCTTTGTGTATTATAAATATTGATTTTTGATTTAACTCTGCGATTATCAATAGATAGTAAATACATTTCAGAAAAGAATAAGAAAAAGAAAATAATAATTTTCAAAAGAGGAATATAAACTATTTTGAAATATGTTGTTTTACGCATGTGTTTTTCATGTCTAAACGGGATAGTGCGTTATCGTTAAGCATTTAATCAATCAGTTGCAGTAGCGAGATTGCTCGCTACTACAAAATTGACATCAGCACTACTCAGTATTTTTGTGCTATTCCTTGAGCTTTATAATTATATATAACATACAAAGGTTTGCGTTTCGAGGACTTCAAAAACCTTCACAAATATCGTTATACTTAGTACCTACAAGAAGTCACCCTAAAAGCTATCGAGCGCGACAGTCGCTTCATTCAAAGCCCCAAAATTCCTCCTCTCACTGATATTTTCGAAAGAGGGTTTCAGTTTGAAAGACGTGGTATTGGCTGCAGCAATTTTATATGACGATTTTTATCTCTAGAAACTACATTCGGCTTACGTGGTGGTAAATTCCGTAACTTATTTAATTTATTTTTGCATTTTTATTGCATCTAAACTATAATATATTTGACTTACAGTATTGCACGTTTGGAATTAATCTGTTTAGGTCGACGTGCTCGCCCGGATTAACACACAATGGCAGCTCAGGCACGTTTGCGTATGTAAACGTTGAAATATTAGTTAAGTACTCATTGGATCGGTCGACGTTATTGTCGAATGATCGTGGTCAGCTTGTATGCTTTACAATTTTTATGTATGCATGCATTACGTAGCGCGTACCTATTAAAATTTGTTAGCTTGTTAGCTGCCTAGGCCTAAGCTCTCTTTTTAACGCCGAATGCCAAAGAGCATCCGTGCGGAGTCCCGACCCTCGTCGAAACTGTCCTATCTATGACGGGCAGCCTCTTGCGGATTATGAAACTTAAATGGAGCTTCTATCCGTATTACATAAAATCAAGGCCTCGCTAATCGATACCGTTTTCTTACTTGGAATTTTTCAAACGCCAACATTATTTTGATACAGTCTTCATATTAATAAAGAACGCATGCCTTATCTAACATAAGCTGTACGATTCAATTTCGAATACACATAATCATTTACGACTTGCTTTTCTGTTCTGAATTTAAATTAATGTTATGTTTTTATTACGTAAAACAGTCTTGGTGTTGATGGTGAGGAATATCAAAGGAGGGTGTAACGGTCGGTCGTTTGTTAAATTACGGAGAACACAGCTGAGGGGCGTTCATAAGCGCTATTCGCTCCGGTTCCTTATCTCGATGTGCAATTCTTTGTTTGCTGTTTACGCAATTTCCCAAACGCCAAGTTGAGTATGACGGGGAGATAAACCGAACAAGGCCTAGCCGCTGGAGATGGTAGATACCTTGTGCGTATTTCGCCTGAGCGCGCTACCGTAGAACTAGCAATATTTCTTGCAGAAAGGGTATCGCCTCGCCTTTTTCATCGGCTATAGCGCGCTCCTGTCTCCGTTGAAATATGATTTGGAAAATAAAACACGACGGCTATACTTTCGTGACACGCATTCCTCAATTTATTCGCATGTACTTACTGATCGTAACAAAATTGTTTTCATAAATATTGTGAAAGCGTAGCGACGTTTATACTTAGGTATCAAATCCTCTATGGGCCACCGGCATATGTGATAAAATTGTCGTCTTTACTATGCATGTGACTAACAGCTAACAGACTGCACGGATGGCGTAGTGGTTTAAGCGGTCGCCACGCCGCTCACTACTACGCTGAGTTTTGTGGGTCCGATCCTCACATGGGACGACACTTTGTGTGATCCACAAATAGTTGTTCTGAGTGTGGGTGTTCTCTGTGTCCGTTCGTTGTATGTTTGTAAAGTCCCTCGCGACACAGGATATATTCCTAGTGCGGGAGTTGTTTTTTTTTTAAAGAAAATAAAAGGTGGAGCATTTTTGCTCTCGTTCCCATTAACGACTAAGTGATGACTAGCCGCAGGTGCGCAGGTGTAGTGACCTGAACGGCAGGTGTAAGTCAACTATTGACTGACTCTTGCGCTCAAATAATACATATTATAATCTCTGTTTCGTATAGATGTCTAAGCTTATGGAATTATTTTATGTGAATAATCCAGATAAGTCAAGTCGATTCTGTATGCAAATGCAATGTCCTTTGATACAGCGAATCTCGGCGAGTAGGAGGGGTACCTCGCTGCTCGCTCTGCGGTCCGACGAGAATCGTCGCGCTCGACGTCGTTCGCCGTTTAACGTTCGCTTTTTACATGGTACCCGCTCTGTACAAGGAAATGCTATTAGTTCGCCTAATGGTTACCGAGGTAAAATGTTTATGTAATCGGTTATATACTATTGACCTCCACCAAGTATTACCAGTTTACCTCCTTCCTAATTTGATTGCGTGTTCGGATATTTGTAAAGAATTATTTTAAAACAATGTGACATGACTGTTCCCAAATTAGCAAATACAAATAACCCTCTGTTTCTGTCTTATGGCCACATGGTTAGGTTTATATAGGTTTACATAGGTTTCGTATTACTTAACACTTCGTAGGTACAATATGGTGAACTATTGAATAATTAATAACTTACGTAGAAAATTATTACAACATGGGTGAACAATCGTTGTTTAGGTAAAACCTTTGCAGTCTTCGTTATTTATTCTACTCTATAACGAGTTACTAGAGCTGTGCATATAGTTACACAATTCAAAACGATTACTAAACTATTATTTTTGTTAGCTTTAAATATGTTGCTTAAAGTGACTAATGTCATCATAACATTTACTGTGCCACCCACGAGTCTGCAGCATGGTGTCTGAGCGTTGGTTGGCAGACGTTTTATCTAAACAATCTATTCGCCATATGCAAACCAGCTGGTTAACCTAATATATTCAACAATGGTGCCGTGCCGATTCTGTTATAGTTTTTACTTAATATTTATAACATCTGTTCCACTCTTCTTGATATCGTGCTATAACTAGATGTAGTACTAAGACTACTACTAGAGTTAAGGATATTTTGAGAAGGGTCAACTTTAAAACTTTATATATTCAATAACTTATTATAAGTTTTAGAGGAAACCGTCGCAATCATTTTTACAAAATAACAAGTTATCTGGGCTTACTTTGTTATATCCTAATATTTTAATAAAACACACCTCGCTAGATAAATTAAAAGTCTGAAAAACAATTTAAATTTGTAACTTAATCGTTACAGCTATACAAGAACAGTACATGAAAGTTATTAGATTGTACCAAATAAATAACAATGTTTAGCAAGCATTTAAATCGCATTTCTTATGCGTAAACAGACATATAGTTGTGATATTAAAAATAGATTTCTTCTATGTGATAACATAATTGGCCCATAAAGTAGTTTCCGTCGACGCTCTCAGGCCTGTCGACGGTAGCTGTTGACCCCGTTATTAATGACTTTAATGACGACAATTTTTGTCGCTAGCCAAAATACTGACCCTGACCGCTTTGAAAACTCATCAGTTTGATAAAAAAACCAATAGACAACCAACTAAGAGTCAAGTACACGTATCGAAACCTACTCTAATTTCAATTTAAAACACAAACAACGACTTGAAACTGTTTTAATGTCACGAGAGCGTATTAACTTTCCAAGAACTCGAAGTTAGAAGTGGATAGTCAATGAGAAGTGCCGCTAGTTTCTGTTTTGATAAATATTTATGTGACCTATCTGCACTGTAGTCATATTCATCTAATAGTGTAGCGTGGGAGCGTTACTATGATTTGTTTACACCGGTCGAGTAGGTAGCACAATCAGCTGTGTGTGTGACGTGAGCGGAGCGTGCGCCCGCGCGCCTAAGGCCGAACGCAGCGCGGCTCAAACGTCTGCGTCATTCTGACGTACTAGCCTTGCCCACATTGACACTGTTAGTCACAATAAAATGACTATTGGAGACATCTCGAGCACTTTTACGAATATTTACTGATAACGATAAAAATATGGTATTTATTATATAAAAACCACTCGTAGGCAGTACTTAATTCTTGACCATTATACTGTGAGGCATTAATTAATCATGTGGATTGGAACTGTCCGTATTTTGGTGAACATCTTAATTAAATATCACCGCAAATGTTGTTAACTTTAACGCATTAGATTAATATTAATTGTATCCAGTCATATTCAGCCGTAATTAACACTCATACATTAATAACGTGTATCATATTAACTGCCTTGAATTCAAGTGACTCTGAATGCAATATTGGATTATTTTTGTCTGCGTGATCTTACCTCAAACAAAAACTCGTATGTAAGGTACAAATGTGAACTTACGGTTTTATGATCGAATATTCTGTATGTATGGGCTGATCTTCTTGTAACCTTTTGATTTTATGTAAAAATTAGCGGTAGTTGGTGTTGTTTCAGGAAATATTTTGCTATTTAATTTTTTTTTAATCATTTCTAAAAATCGTAATTTTAATATCAGATAAAATGTTTTAATAAAGAATGAACTTAATTAATTCGTGTCTGTAGGTAAAATTTTACAACACATGTTATTACTCGTAAACACACATTTGGTAGGGCATGGCTTAATGTCGTTATGTTTAGATAGATGACGTGACGGTTTATGTGATTTAACTAATTAATGTAATATTTATAAATATTAATTTAATTTAAATTAAGCTTAGATACGATGACGGTACCTACTTAAACGGGTATTAACACTATTGACGCTACCTAATGGTATGCGAACCATCTAACCTAAAATAGAAACTTGAATACATCGAAATTGTAACTTAAATAAAATAACAAAGTAGGCCCCTTAAATTT